CTACAACCACCCCATGCTGTTACCCTCACTACCTTCAATCACCCTATTATAATGAACCGACGCTGTTACCCATCGCGTCTGTGGCTTAGGCATTGCGACAGCTTCGTAAAGCCTGGGTGCTGGGTTCAATCCCAGCTGCGAACAATTTGTCCTGCGCTGGTTACGACAGCTCAGAAGCAATGGCAAACTACTGAATGTAAAATTTGCCTAGACAAAAAAACACATCTAAAAACATTGCTGGGTTGTTCTGCAACGTTCTGTAAAAGATACGCAGCTAAAAATAGTCTACCTATAATAATGAGCACATGTTAACATTATTTGGAAACAGTACTACAAGGACACCGCCTGTAACCGATGGCAACCTGGGAAATTCGTCTACTACCTGGTTGAAGGAATCGTCATGTACTTTGTCCCTGTGACAATCATGATTGTTGCTTATGCTGTGATTGCCATCAAGTTGCTTATCCGCGGAACACCAGGATCGCATGCAAATTCATCGTCCAACCAGGAGCGGTCAAAAAAGAAGGTAAGTAATCTGCCTGTGAAATTCTGGTTCCATTATATTCTATGCTTCTTCTTCTTTCGTTTGATCGAGACAGATTATCTATATCAGCAAAATTGTCTCTGGTGTGAATGTCACTGACTCTTGTAATTAACTCAGTTAGCCGTAAAGTTTAGCTTGCACTGGTGTGTTTCTCTTGGCCGGAAGTTTTGCCTTGATATGTTGTATTTGGGACAGTCCTGTTGTCTCAGGTGCCAGGTACACATGGCTGATTCGCCAATCTTAAATGTGTGCATGACGCTGCGAAATCGATTGTGTCATTATTTAAGGCGTCGAATAATGATTTGTTCTGGTTTGTCCATAAAATGGTAATCGCCTTGCGCCAGTTTTGATGGCCCGCTGATGAATTTGATTATTCTATCTCCACAGTGAGATGATATCCTTTGCTTAGTTACCCTATATCGGTTACCTAGTTTGTAGAGTTGAGTTAAGTCAAGAATTGACATCACAGCACTCGGTGCATTCCCATGCATGCCCCATCCTCATCTTCAGCAGCCAGTGCAGAGTTCTAATACTGATGGTACTGGTCACAATGAGGCTATATGTTCGTCTTGCCTTTCCTCTGAGTGTAGTGAGCCGACCAGACCCTCTGGTTACACCCAGGTGCCTTATTCTCTCCAGGCCATAATAATCTTCTTTCTCTACTGATTCCGTTGCTTGTTCTCATAAGGGTCTTGACAACATCTGTCTTGTCGTGATCAGTTCACCGCCCAGTGGTGCAGATCCAGCCAAACTATCTGGCCGTTCTTTACCTATCACGTCGGCATAGCCTGAAGAAAAGATCCAAAGTATTCTCACTACCAGTGACCTTTCCAGTAGAGCTTGCCACTCTGCTCAAAGCATCCCTGTCTTCACCTTTCTCAGCATGATTTCAGAGTCTGTTACAAGACGTGTTTGCATCTTGTTCTCTAGCCACCGGAGATCAGCAGTTACCGCCTCCACCTTCATTCTCATGCTAGATGTTGTCTGTAAATCTGGTAATTTATCAGATTTGAATGCCTAAAGTACAGCGTTTGTATTTGTCAAGAATACCCCAGGTTGCGAAGTATGACTGGTATTTAGCAACTTCTAGTGCTTTCCTGTTTTGGTTGTCTGTCTGTATTATTTGAATGCGCAATATACACTCCTGCTTCTCCATTTCTGCTCGCCTTTTGTGCCGACCCATCTGTGTAGACGCGAACCCAAAAGATCACGGGTGTATTCATCATCAAGTAGACTGATATCCTAAATACATCCAAATGATCTGACCATTTACGATATGGCTGTGACTTATCGTGTCACAGTAGGGAGGCGTCTATGTGACGGCTGTAACTGATCGTGTCACAGTAGGGAGGCGTCTATGTGACGGCTGTAACTGATCGTGTCACAGTAGGGAGGCGTCTATGTGACGGCTGTAACTGATCGTGTCACAGTAGGGAGGCGTCTATGTGACGGCTGTAACTGATCGTGTCACAGTAGGGAGGCGTCTATGTGACGGACGTAACTGATCGTGTCACAGTAGGGAGGCGTCTATGTGACGGCTGTAACTGATCGTGTCACAGTAGGGAGGCGTCTATGTGACGGCTGTAACTGATCGTGTCACAGTAGGGAGGCGTCTATGTGACGGACGTAACTGATCGTGTCACAGTAGGGAGGCGTCTATGTGACGGACGTAACTGACGCTTTCACCTTCCATCGGTAAAGAAAAACATTTTTTTTTTATTTATTAATACTGTTTATTACTTACTGCAAGTACGCCTCTCAGTTGACATCTAAAACATACCGAAAAGAATGCTCGCTGCATGCTTACGCTACTCATACAGACATTGTAATATGTGGAAGCTACCAGCTACTAGTACAGTACTACGATGCGAGCTGCGAACACGTACTTTCAACAGCGAGGAAGAAACTATCCCGTGACACCCTCTCCAGTGTAATTGCCACCTGCTGACGCTTAGACGTGCAAACTGATCATGCTTTGCCACTGTCGTGTCATTGACTGTTTGCAATTATTATTACTTTTTTTTTTTTAATTACTAACTGTGTTTACAAATTTTGCAATTTTAGGTAGGACACGGGAAATGATGGTTCAGGTGAGGGGATCTTTGGGCCATGAGATATAGGGATGTTTGGCTAGTGCTATGGCAACGGACTGTAGAGGTTAGGATTGTATTATGGCCCCTGACAGAAAAAGAGAAATTTGAGGGTTTGAAATTTAAACGTTACTACCGGAGGGGAGCTGCGTCAGTGCTAGAGGTTCCGGGTTCTATCTCCGGCAAGGACTGTGAGTTTTTCACGTGGACTTTAACTTCTAGTAAGTCCCCTGGTCCCTGGGTAGTGCACACATAAAAAATCACCTGGCAGTTGGAAATCGAAAAGAGTAGCCTAACGGCGCTGCCCGGGCAAAATTTGGAGTTAACAATCCACATAAAGTTTTTCAGGATCCTCACCGGTGCTACAGAGCCTGTGCACTGTGCTAAACTTCTTCGGACTCAGACTTGAGTTAGAAAAAGAACGGAGCACTTATGGGCTACTACCCGTGTGCCATGATGTTGGTCTGTTGCTCAAAACCTCAAACGTTACTACCGGAAGTATCATGGACCAAGAAAAGGAAACATGCTGTCATTCTTCGCGACTGGGGTGTCAGTGTTGTTTCTCGCGAAGTTGGCGTCTATGGCTTAGGCGATGTGAACGCGCTACGTAATGCAGGAGTATTAGGTTTGATCCCAGCTTCAGCGATTGGACAGTTGGTTTCTACAGCTGCATCAGGTCAATGTGCCCAGTCCTTAGTCTGAATATAATACACTGTCCGTCTAGAGAGACGATCGGTGAAGGAAACACGGAGACGTGTCCCTGCAGTGTGGCACCCGAAAATGCTGAGCATGTGCTCCAACACTGTCAACTGTCTCCTGACAACAGTGACGCAATATGACTTGTTCCAACCGCAATGATGACAAAGCTGGATGGTACACGAGAGGATATGGACTGCACGATAGCTTTCATAAAGGCTACCCGCCTCCTGATATAAGTTTTCTGACAGAAAGATCGACGAAGAAGAAGATTATGTTAATGACAAATTACTGAACGTAACTTTGCCTAGAAAAAAAAAATGCTGGGGTTGGTTCTGCGACGTTCTGTGAAAGATACGCAATTGAGTTTCTCGTGAAGTGAAATACTTCGACCTTATCAAACGCCAAAATGTTAAGAACAAAAGTGTAATGGAGGGTATGGCTCGTGGAAGAAACTGTGGGGGTCCCGGGACCCAGTTGTGGAGAAAACAAGAATACATGCTGTAAGAGTCTTTTAATTGAGGGGTGGGGAGACAGGGCTTCCTTCGAAGTCGGACTGTATCGGCCTGAAAGGTAGCGAACCAACAGCCTGCATAAAAATATGTCAAATTTGTAAAATGGATCTGCAAGCCCGATTCAGATTCTGGAAAAAGACTACAGTCCAGAAGTGGACGAACAACCAGAACTTTCCGCCGGAGCCCGTAACGAGAGGAAGAAACAGAAGAAGACCACTATATATAAAGGACACCTTGAACGTTATAGTTCACCAGGTGGGGAAATTAGCGGGGAGGGGGGGGCGGGGTCAAGTGACTTGTGTGACTGCTTATGCCCTGCTACATGGGATGGTATCAAAGATGATGAGGGGGATGATGGCTGTGGTGGTGGTGGCGGTAGTGATGATGATGGTGGTTGTGGTAGTAGTGGTGATGATGGTGGTTGTGGTAGTAATGGTGATGATGGTAGTTGTAGTAGTAATGGTGATGATGGTGGTGGTGGTAGTAATGGTGATGATGGTGGTGGTGGTAGTAATGGTGATGATGGTGGTGGTGGTAGTAGTGGTGATGATGGTGGTGGTGGTAGTAATGGTGATGATGGTGGTGGTAGTAGTAATGGTGATGATGGTGGTGGTGGTAGTAGTGGTGATGATGGTGGTGGTGGTAGTAATGGTGATGATGGTGGTGGTGGTAGTAATGGTGATGATGGTGGTGGTGGTAGTTATGGTGATGATGGTGGTGGTGGTAGTAATGGTGATGATAGTGGTGGTGGTAGTAGTGGTGATGATGGTGGTGGTGGTAGTAATGGTGATGATGGTGGTGGTGGTAGTAATGGTGATGATGGTGGTGGTGGTAGTAATGGTGATGATGGTGGTGGTGGTAGTAATGGTGATGATGGTGGTGGTGGTAGTAATGGTGATGATGGTGGTGGTGGTAGTAGTGGTGATGATGGTGGTGGTGGTAGTAATGGTGATGATGGTGGTGGTGGTAGTAATGGTGATGATGGTGGTGGTGGTAGTAATGGTGATGATGGTGGTGGTGGTAGTAATGGTGATGATGGTGGTGGTAGTAGTAATGGTGATGATGGTGGTGGTGGTAGTAGTGGTGTTGATGGTGGTGGTGGTAGTCATGGTGATGATGGTGGTGGTGGTAGTAATGGTGATGATGGTGGTGGTGGTAGTAATGGTGATGATGGGTGTGGTGGTAGTAATGGGGATGATGGTGGTGGTGGTAGTGGTAGTAATGGTGATGATGGTGGTGGTGGTAGTAGTGGTGATGATGGTGGTGGTGGTAGTAATGGTGATGATGGTGGTGGTGGTAGTAATGGTGATGATGGTGGTGGTTGTAGTAATGGTGATGATGGTGGTGGTAGTATTAATGGTGATGATGGTGGTGGTGGTAGTAGTGGTGATGATGGTGGTGGTGGTAGTAATGGTGATGATGGTGGTGGTGGTAGTAATGGTGATGATGGTGGTGGTGGTAGTAATGGTGATGATGGTGGTGGTAGTAGTAGTGGTGATGATGGTGGTGGTGGTAGTAATGGTGATGATGGTGGTGGTAGTAGTAATGGTGATGATGGTGGTGGTGGTAGTAGTGGTGATGATGGTGGTGGTGGTAGTAATGGTGATGATGGTGGTGGTGGTAGTAGTGGTGATGATGGTGGTGGTGGTGGTGGTGATAGTAGTGGTGATGATGATGGTGTTGGTGGTGGTGGTAGTTGTGGTTCTACTGATAGTTATTTACTTTCTCTGGTCATGATCCCCCAAAAAAGAGCCCATGCTCAGAAGTAACAGCCTGTAATGTTTGATCAGGTGACCAAGATGCTGGCCGTGGTGCTTGTCGCCTTCATCAGCTGCTGGACTCCACAGCAGATCTTGCTTCTTTATGAGGTGTTTTATAATCCCGTCCAGGTAATTCACAATGTTCGTTACATCTGCTTCTTCTTTATGAGGTGTTTTATAATCTCGTTCAGGTAATTCACAATGTTCGTTACATCTGCTGATTTTTTATGAGGTGTTTTATGATCCCGTCCAGGTAATTCACATGTTCGTCACATTTGCTGCCTCTGTATTAGGTGTTTTATAACCCAGTCCAGGTAATTCACAATGTTCGTCACATCTGCTGCTTCTTTATAATGTGTTTTATAATCCAGTCCATGTAATTCACAATGTTCGTTACATCTGCTGCTTTTTTATGAGGTGTTTTATAATCCCGTCCAGGTAATTCACATGTTCGTCACATCTGCTGCTTCTTTATAAGGTGTTTTATAATCCTATTTAGGTAATTCACAATGTTCGTTACATCGTCGGTTCTTTATTAATATCCTCCCCCAGATGACGTCACATGACAGTCTAACATTTTCGAGGGGTGTAAGACTGGGTTTCCCGGCTTTCTGATGCTTTTAACGACCCCAAAACATCTAGAACTGGCCATAACCCCAACCCACCTACGTCCCACGAGAGAGTTCAGCCTAGGTCCTACGACTGCCTGCAGCCCAAGTCCCATGACTGCATGCAGCTTATCTATCACCCCCTGAAATATTAGACTGTCCCGTGACCTGTGGATTTTGCCTGTGTGGGATATTAAATTAATAAAGCATCAAATTTTCTTCTTCTTCCTTTCCATATTACCATCGTTGTCTTTCTCTTTACCCACTCCATTCCCCCAACCATCCCCATCCCCTTACCTAGTACAGACACCGGCGACTATAACCTTAATCCTTCTTCAGTCAAATGTTGCGGCGCCAAAACAATATGATATTTCTTCTCCTAGCTGCTTAAAATTTCTACTCGTAATTTGTTTCTTTCTATCTCTGCTATCTATTCAATCTAGTATTTTCATGCATATTCCTAATCGTTTAACTCATATGTGTGGAATGTATGTGTCTTTATATATCTTCTGTCGTATTTAATTTGTACTTTTTTTTTTTAAATAACTTTTTTTCTTATCTTTTATATCGAATTCCTTTATCTCTCTCTCTCTCTCTCTGTCTGTCTGTCTCTGTCTCTCTTCTCCTTTTCTCTATGTGCATTCGTGTGTGTGTGTGTCTGTGTGCTCTTGTATATGTGTACGCGCGGGTGTAGATATCAAATTACTTGTCTTGCTGTTAGCACAAAAGCACCTTCCTTCACAAACAATAAATTTGTATATACATTTGAAAATCTCATTGCTTTAAACGTTAACTGGATATTGCAACTGGTTTTTTTTTTTTTTTCTCAATTACTTTTCAAATAAAGTCGTTTTATTTATTAATGTAGTATTGCATCTGTATTTGAATAAATGAGAATTTTCTGATTTATTTGTTTTGTTTTGTTACACTTTGTTGCATTCACTAGTTTTGAAAAGTTCTGTGGAAGCTAAACACAGACAGCCAAATATGAAAGAAGATGGAAAGATGTGTAAATACTTTACAAACCTCAAGATAATTTTCCGTATCTCAGTTAATGAACTCTGACAGAGACAGAAAGCGGTGCAAATATTTACTTAACCTCAAGTTAATTTTCCGTTTTTCAGACTGACGTGTACACAGCCATCAGATACGCGGCCTTGTTTGTGGCTTACTGCAACAGTGCGCTGAACCCGATTCTTTATGGAGGATTCAATGAAAACTTCAGGAAAGGATTCCACGAAGCTTTCACTTGTATACTTATTCAAAAGAGAAACAGAATTGGAGCAGGTGAGCACGTGTGAGACATAAACGATTAATACATGTTGATCAGCACAGTTTGAACGCGTGCATGTTATGTCTGTAATCGACGCTTGCACATTCCATTGTCAAAGAAGTAATAAAATAGTTTACTATTTTTTATTACCGTTTATCATTTATTGCAAACAAATTCACTTCTTTTGCGTTTCCAACATATCAAGAAAAACTCTCTCTGTATGCTTACGCTACTCGTGCAGAATCTGTAAGAATGTTACCAGTTTGCTAGTCTACGATGCTATCTGCGTACGCATATTCTCAATAGCAAAACGACGAGGAGGGAAAACATCTCAAGTGTAATCGTTACCTTCTAACGCTCACACATGCGAACTGATCAGGATACTCAGCTGGATCAGTAATGCTATCAGCAGAATCAAATTTGCTATCAACACTATCATTACCAGGTAATTAACTCCTTACAAGAGCGTACATTTCCTTACTTCCCAAGGGAAAGACTGTTAAAATCCGCATTGAGGTAGATTTGTTTTCTTCAAAATTTTCATTAGCGTTAGAACGGATAACGTCGGGCTCTCATGCGGGAGACCCGCGTTTGAGTCCCAATAAGGTCATGGAGTTTTTCTGTCGGGGCAAAAATTAAAAGCTAGAATTCTTAAAAGCTATATAAACCCTATCTTGATATATGGACGTGAATCATGGACATTTGGAAGATTAATGAACATGTATTTGGAAGCTGCGGAGATGTGGTTTTTATTGACGGGTTATGAGAATTACCCTGGACAGATAAAAAATAGTAATGAGGATTTCTTGAAAGAAACTGACTCACGATGAAAACTGGTTGCCCACATCGGAAATAAACAATCTACACTCTTTGATTATGTGATGAGAAGGAGACAATTGAAGTATAAGGCGACAGAAGGAAAGTTGGAGGGGAGGAGAGGCACAGGGAGACCGAGAGAAAAGATACTGTACAATTTGACATCATGGCATAGAGGATCCTCTGTATCAGAGTTGATTGAAAGTACACGAGGCAGAAGGTTGTGGATAGACATGACTACCAACGCCACACGGCATGGACTATGGAAGTTCATCTGTGTCAGAGTTGACTGAATGTACTCGAGGCAGAAGGTTGTGGATAGACATGACTACCAACGCCACACGGCATGGACTATGGAAGATAATCTGTGTCAGAGTTGATTGAAAGTAGAAGGTTGTGGATAGACATGACTACCAACACCACATGACTCGGACTATGGATGTTCATCTGTGTCAGAGTTGATTGAAAGTACACGAGACAGAAGGTTGTGGATAAACATGACTACCAAGCCAGACGGTATAGACTTTAAAAAGAAGATTATTGTCAATAGCAAAATGGGGGTGAACAAATTATGCGATGGTTGGGGTTCATGTGAAAAAGTATGTATGCATGCTACTAAAAGCGTTAATGCTGTGTCCAGTACGGTGTTGGTCTGGGGTCTGTTTCGTCTAACACTTACACATTCCATTGCTGCCATGCTCGGTTTCTTGGGGTTAGATAGTTGCTGTTAGTAACGTATCCTTTACGTTGCAGAACCAACCTCAGCATCTTGCATAAATGTATGTATGTATGTATGTATGTATGTATGTATGTATGTATGTATGTATGTATGTATGTATGTATGTATGTATGTATGTATGTATGTATGTATGTATGTATGTATGTATGTATGTATGTATGTATGTATGTATGTAGGTATGTATGTATGTATGTATGTATGTATGTATGTATGTATGTATGTAGGTATGTATGTATGTATGTATGTATGTATGTATGTATGTATGTATGTATGTATGTATGTATGTATGTATGTATGTATGTATGTATGTATGTGTGTGTGTGTGTGTGTGTGTGTGTGTGTGTGTGTATGTGTGTGTGTATGTGTGTATGTATGTATGTATGTATGTATGTATGTATGTATGTATGTATGTATGTATGTATGTATGTATGTATGTATGTATGTATGTATGTATGTATGTATGTATGTATGTATGTATGTATGTATGTATGTATGTATGTATGTATGTATGTATGTATGTATGTATGTATGTATGTATGTATGTATGTATGTATGTATGTATGTATGTATGTATGTATGTATGTATGTATGTATGTATGTATGTATGTATGTATGTATGTATGTATGTATGTATGTATGTATGTATGTATGTATGTATGTATGTATGTATGTATGTATGTATGTATGTATGTATGTATGTATGTGTATGTATGTATGTATGTATGTATGTATGTATGTATGTATGTATGTATGTATGTATGTATGTATGTATGTATGTATGTATGTATGTATGTATGTATGTATGTATGTATGTATGTATGTATGTATGTATGTATGTATGTATGTATGTATGTATGTATGTATGTATGTATGTATGTATGTATGTATGTATGTATGTATGTATGTATGTATGTATGTATGTATGTATGTATGTATGTATGTATGTATGTATGTATGTA